TAAAATGATTGTCGTTTGAAGACCTACTCAGTGTTGAGATTGGTTATCCAGCAAGAGAGAGCTGTCATAATCCATATCCTATGAAACTCACCTGCGGATGAAGCCACCACTGATGGCCATCTGCTCCCGTTCATCCACCACGCGAGCAGGCTGGCTGGCCACAACTCCGTCCTGATTATTGCCCCAGGCTTTTTTGTAAGCATCACTTGATTTAAGCCTATGCAAAAAAGAGGGTGAGTAACAAGGCACTGGGTGGAGCAATAAGCTCACAGCAATTGTCACTTCTTCAAGCGAAGAGTCAAACCAAGCGAATGAGTTTTAAGTCGAGGCATTAGAGAATACCGATATATCATAATCTGGACCCAAACAATTGGCCACCACCATGCCTCAACTAGTCAGCATTTCATTTCCAATTGAGTCAATTGCAGTGGTCAAGACTGTAATTTTTGGTCTGTTTTGTAGTTTAACTGGATTTAAGATGAGGATTTAAGTTTTAAGTAGCTGGAGAACACTCAGTTCTATTTCAGTGACACAGTTATATTTTGAGACACAAAACACAGAAAAACATACTGGCAGACAGACACAAAACAAGACTGCCAAGTAGAGTGTGTACATCACACCACAGCAACACAGTGTCATCAAGAAAAACATACTTGACCTAGTTTTTACATAACATCATGCAAAGATCCCTGTTTAATATCTTTTCATCAATACATGTATGAAGCTAACATTTCCAGTGCTTCATGGAGGACACAAAGGATTGGTGGTTGGCCAAGGGTGATGGTCTCTGAGTTGCCTCTAGAGTGATTTGAATTAGATAATATATCGGTACTTCCAAACAGTCTCTATACATCCAGAGTTGATGTACAAACCTTTGTCCACAGAGACAAAAAGTAAAAGAAGCATAGTGAAATGAATGCAGGAAAATAGAAGAGAGAACAAGCAATCTAGCACCAAAATGGGAAACCCCTCTAGGTCTTCTTCATGCACCAGCTACAGGCATGAGGAGAAAGTGAAGCATTCTCATTTAAGCCAAACTACTCCAGAAGTTGACCATTCTCAAAAAAGGCACTAGCAGGACAGTAATAGCCTTCATGAGGATTTGAAACGCAGTTCAGTAGCTTCTTTGCTGGGCTGAAGGGCAGGGTGGAGAGTGCTTACAGACGCCTACTTCAAACTATTCTGGAGTCATGATGGGGAGAGTGGTCTGGAGTCGGTATGATCTCCATGGGCTGTATTTCACTGAGCTGCCTTGGAGAAAAACTTAAAATCCAGGCATACCTGTTGTACCCAATAGAAACATGTGCAGCATGTTTTGGTGGGTGTGTTATAATTTAAAGCAAACAAAGATGTTTTTAGGTTCTTTGCATAGTAGAAACCATATGCCTTTTAGTCCAAAAAAAAAAAAAAGAAAAAGAGAGAGAGAAATAAACTTTGGTCCCATTTTTAGAATTTTTATTATACAATATCAGAATTTAACTTTCTCTTTTTTCTCCCTTTCACTAGAAGACCTCAGCCATCTATTAAAACTGGCTTTAGTCCTTGAAAATTGACAAAGCAAACCATGGTGACAGATTGGAAAATTGCACCAATGGAATTTTAGCAGCTCCCACAACTTATTGCATAATGCCACAGCTCTTAGAGCAGTTGGAATTTACTGCATCAGAAGGCAATGGCCCACTTGATAGGATAAAGTCCCCAAACTAATTTTAATAGAGTTTGGAGTTGCCTCCCTCCAATTTCCCATCTCCTCCTTGGATTAAAGGACTTGTATGGACTTTGTGATGTTTTCTGCTATGTAAAATATCTAGTATACCATCTTTGGCAAAGTCAAAGGAGGAGAAATATGCGTTTCCAAAAGAAGGCAAACCACTGCACCCACAATGCTGCACATAGACTCACATCACTGCCGAACATCTACCATAGTCCTTCGAAACATGCCGAGACAGGGCGAAGCCCTCAGATAGTCCAGGGCACCACCAGCCACTGCGTTGTGACACATGGTTTTTAAAGCATTATTTACACACAATAGGGAACACTTAGGTCAAGCTTTGAAGCTCATTTAGGGTCTCTTGTGCACAAAAGAATTAGTAACCCCTTGTATGTGGAATTGGAAGAGCCATGTTGCATCAGAACCTTAGGATCCATCCCAGGGGGCCCTGCCTCTGCTTTTTTTTTTTGCACACAGTTAATGAAGGGAGGGTGTGTATGTTGGAAGTCACCACAAAATGGTTGGAAATCTCATGTGAGGCAATTGTCACTGAAAGGATATACAGTGAAATCTTGAGTAACTGGAATGAGGCAATGAGTCATTCTGTGTCAAGGGCAATTGGTGAATGTCTTGTTAGACTCTTGAGCCAGTTTTCCACCTAAAAGTCTCCTGGTAGTGGACATAATCAGGTCTTTCTATGGTTATGTTGTGTCTGGTGGCCTTTCCTTTAAGGGAAACCCTTATTGTTTGTTATTTTCAGATATGGGGATTGTTGGAGGATAGAGACTGAGACAATTCAAAATATCTATTGTGTCTTAGTAGAAAAACAATTTGAACTCTGGCATGCATCATTTTTTTCCTTGTTTGTTTTTGTTCATTTGTTTCTTTTGGCTGAAAATAGAAGGAGGTAAAAGTATACAGTTGAGGGTTCCAGTTATCTAGATTCCAGTTAATCAGGGTTTACTGTAGATCATTCTTTTTAAAACATGCTTTGTATTTATAGGTAAATGGAGCCCCTCCCCCTCCTAAACAGGAAGTGGGATATTTTAAATCAGCGTCAGAGTTTAAAGGATGTGAAACATAACCTGGTAAAAATTACGTCAATTTCTATTTTAAAAGAGAGGATCAGAAGAGCTTTCGGAGGGAAAAAAAGGCTTCTATTAAAGAGGGATAAGGGTTGAGGGAGATTGGGCAATGAGTTTAATTTTCCAAATGCATGTTGGACAACCCACCCATGCATTTTTTTCCCACTGCTAGTCAAATGAGATTATCTTCCAGAACCCTCAGTGTCAGGTTCCTTCTGTTGTAAACCTTTACAACCACATGTCACATTTCTGCTACATTCCAAAAAGCATTGCAGAACCTTGAGAACAGTTGAATGTTTTGTGATGTTGTGCATGCAAAATCTACACATTTCAACATTTCAGCCAGTGTACGGGAAGCTCTTCCAAGGGGAAGCATTTGAGAGGAATTGGTTCAATTTGAGCAAGACTTGAGCAGTTTTGCCTCTGCATCATGCACAGCCCCAGCATCTCATGAATAAATTTGGGAACTGGTGGGTAGTAGAAAGGGAAAATCTCTGTTATACTCTCTCACTTAAGGATGCTTGCCTGGGCCAAATTACCTATTCTGACTTCTGGGAAATCAAACCTCGATATATGTGGTTCTCATCTTTCAGACTTACCCACAGCCTTTTGTGAATGGGGAATTTAGGTTCTTGGGGTTAGGGGAAACAAAGTTCCCTGGGTGCCTCTGTCTCAAAGTACACTTTCTGGAGAAAATGTTGAAATGTTCATCAATAAAAGTTGCTGACAGTGAAGCTTTCACTGTAGTATGCCTGATTTTTAATGCAACAGTAACTCCCACTAATATCATCTATGCTATGAGATGAATGCATTGGAGACAGTATTGATCTGTTCTGCATGCCACATGCTCATCCTGCCTATGAGCCTGCAGGAATGAGCTTGTCAAGGCTTGGAGATAGGCCTTGGGAAACCAAAGCTTCAGGCAGGCAGGCAGCACCTACTTGTTACAGGGACACACACAAAGCCCGCAGAATTTTCCTAGGTCCGTCAAATTCTTTTCTGCTTCTTTCATGTCCTTATTGATTTGGTCCATCCCTTCCTCAATGCGTTCCAGTTGTTCTGATTAAACACAAGTATTTTATCCCCACAGAATGAAGCAGATGGAAAAGGACAAAGAAAAAAAAGACAAAACTTCAGACATTGACTTTGACATTAAAAAAGAAAAAAATAAAAGAAAGAAAGAAAGAAAGAAAGAAAGAAAGAAAGAAAGAAAGAAAGAAAACTGGACGCCACAGATTAGAGCTGGTACCCAGTACCTACTTGTTACAAGGACATATGAAAAGGCCACAGCATTTCCCTAAATCTTTTAAATTTTTCTCGGCCTCCTTCATGTCTTGGTTGATATGGTTCATGCCTTCTTCGACACGATCGAGTTGTTCTGGTTAGGACAAAGGGATGACAGTGTGGAATGAATTTTTTTTGGGTTTCCAACAGAACATGAGAAATGACTATGTGAGACAGATTTTGAAAGAGAAAGAGAGAGATTGCAATGCATTGTCTGAGAGGATGCATTGTTGCAGATGTCTGCTGCTGCCGTGAACAGGCATGGGTGGAAGGAAATGAACAAAAACGATGATCAAAATCATTTGTAATTCAAACATGATGGGATAGGGTCAGAAGGCCTGTTTGATTCTGAGTGTCCAGGGAAATGGCACAGCATATTCACCTATCCATTCACTGGTGAAACCCAGGAGAAAGGAAAATAGGGTGTTAGCTTATGTTTAAGGCATTCTCATTTAATGGTACTAGAGGAAGTATCTGCTTCAACTTTTTAAGATGTCTGCATCTTTTGGTGTATAAGTATCCTCTATCAGGTAGAGGTAGAAAACATAATCTATTTTCTTCTTTGGGAAAAACAAGAGCAGTAGCAATGTTTAGCAGTGGGTATGCATCTTTCTCTCCCCTCTAGCAATGGCTAGGAAGCCCGTGGCCTAGTCTTAGTTTTCCCTATTTAATTCATAGAAATTGTGAGAGAAAGTAATATCAGCATAGGGATATTGTAAGTACTGGAATGTTTCAAATCCTCTCTTATCCTCTGATTTACTTGCTATGAAAGCTTTAGAAGGCATTTTACTCCTCTAGACCTTGATTTTCCAGTGTTTGCAAGAAGGGGGTTTGCCAATTGCAGTGGAGGAGGGGTGATGAATTGGAACATAGAACAGTACTATGCCATTGCTGCTAGTAGAGCTGACCTTAGTGTCTAAGACATAGATCGATAGTAATAAAAATGAATCATGCTTCTAGGTTGCCAGGGGAACATACAACAACTTAATTAGTTTTTCAAAAGTTGCATCACTAAATTAAGGTAACTACAAGTCCAATGAAGAAATTTTTAAAACAAATCTTTAAAATCATTAAAGGAGAGAACCAATGAGATATTTTGGCTGACTAATTATAAGACCTAATTATATTCCTATTCCTCTTTTTCATCTATGTTTTCATGCACGCATGCCTGCCTATACCTCCAGGAATAAAGGCATGCCTAGAATAAAACTGGTAAGTACATTTCTAGCCCAGGGGCATAAATAATCATTTAAAAACAATTTCACATTACATTGTACAGTGGAAATTGCCATTTTAAAACCTCAGATAGGTTCACTAGTGACCTGAACTAGGGAGACTATGAATTTGGAATGAGAGATTATTGTGTTACTTTTGGTGGAACAGAAAAACAGAATTAAGCTTTTTAGGAATCTGTTGTCTCTGCTATGCTTTTAAAATGTCTGGTAAAAACAGAATTTCAGTATTTATCCAGCACTGGATACCTAGAGGAAATAACGTTGCAGGGCCAGAGAACTTTTGCTGAATAAATACAAATACAGTGATTTCTTTAAAAAAAAAAAAAAACCTTTAAAAGAATATATGTATAAATATATGTATATATCTGTATTCTAGGAGAACTTTTTTACAGAAAAAAATTTCTGGTTTGCTTTGAAGAGTGCAATAAATTATAGGTCAAGTTAAATACTTGATAAAATTGATGAGGGAAAAGAAGCTCAACATAATAGTGCTCATCATCAAATGAGGAACCATTGTGTGTATAGACAGAAATAGAGATGCCAAAACCCAGTCAAATTATTGTTCACGGCTTCCACCAGGAGGGCTGCACTGAGATGGACTGAAGCAGGTGTCTGGGCTACAAAGGAGACAGGCTGGACTCAGCTACTGGCAGTTAAGTAAGCGCAGATTATGGAATTTCTCTTGCATTATAAAATGGGTTTTTTTGTATTAAACTATAATTCTCTCAAAAGATTTCAGAAACCCCCTCCCCTGTGTCTCCACAAATTGATAAGTAATATATACATCTGTAATATATCTATTATATATTTTTATGCATTTACATAGGAATTGGTCTGTATATTAGACCATTAGTCCTCAGGATTTAAAGAAAATTAAAAAAAATAATCAAGCAAATCCAAATCTGTATTTCTGAGATCTGGGTTCTGCCATGGATTGTTCACTTGGTCTCATAAAGTTTTGATTAAAAGAGGAAATTCTGATGTTGAATTTGATTCAAAAAACTATCCAGAAGATAGTTTTTTCAGAAAATGATAATTACTAATATCGGTTAAATATATAAAATATATAAATAAATATGCAATATAAGTATATAAATATTATAAATAAATATTAATTTATATAAATTATAAGTCAAACATTTTTTTTTTCTTTTGTGAGCCAGAGTCTCACCATGTAGTTCAGGCTGGCCTTGAACTCACTATGTAGCCCAGGCTGACTTTGCACTCCCAGCAATCCTCCTGCCTCAGCTTCCCAAGTGCTAGGATTATAGGGATGAATCACCATGCCCAGCAAGTCAAATGTTTAACTTAAAAAATAGTGTAAAACCATTTTGTTGCAGGTCTTCTAAAAATAATATTAATTTTTAGAGTATACTGAGTTATGTTTGTGGATATATTTGGTATATTAAGGCTTCATGGTGCTTGAGTGGTTTCTGAAAGATGCTTCTTAAGAAATGCTTAAAAGTACCCACTGCCTTCATTTCATTCTGCAGTGGACAGCAGCATCTCTGAGGCTGATATAAGGCACTGTTCAGTATCAATTGCTTCTTCCCTCCCTATGCTAGTTTTCTGCCCATTTTCAACTTACTCTGGGAGGCTTGGAGGAGAACAACATTTTGTTTTGGGTAAGGAGAAACTTCCAGTAGACAGCACTGTATTTATGTGGAAGATTGGTTATTTGTGATAGAACCATCAATGGTAGGATGGTCAGGAGTCTATGTTTAAATATCTTCTCTACAAATCTCATCCGAGTAAAGCAATATAGGTCTATTAAAATCCCCAACCTGGTTAAACATTTTTAAAAATACTATAATATAGCAAGGCATGGATGTTATTGACCTAGTATGCAAGCCTTCCTGAGTATATCAGTTACAAGATGCCACCTACTTGTTTTTCCTTTCCTATAGCATTGATGATCATGCAGAACTTCATTTAAATAAAGTTAAAGAGCCGTATGTGGCCAGTGGCAACTATACCGGACAGTGCAGCCTTCATCATTCCTAAGTGATACTTGGCAAATGGATGCCTGCAAGAAGGGTATTTTTCTCAAATGTTGCCTTACAGTGCCCTGACCTTTAAGGACAGCTGCCTAGCTCTCTGGATAGGGTTTATACTCTTTGTTTTTGCTCTTCTAGGCAGTGGTGGTAAGAGATTTCACTGTTTGATTTGGAGTTCATTCCAAGGGAAATTCTCCAAGAGCCACAGCTCAGGCATGGATCCAAACATATAACCCAAGAAAGACCAACAAAAGGAACAAGAGAAACAGAAGCAAAAGGTTAGATCATCTCATGTTAATATCAAGGTCATGTTAGGGGATTTCCCTTGGAGGCAAATTTTCTAGGGGAATAAAAGTCTCAGGGCTTAGTACATCTCCAGGGCTGTCTGTCATGCACAATGCTCCTTGATGTCTCCTAATACCTGTATACAAAACAAGAATCTCATAAGGAATTTCCCAGTGTAGCCATTGAGCTGGAAAACCTGCAATGTTCTGGGCTAACCCGACAGTGGGTAGAATGGTTCTTTAGAAGGATGGCTGATTCTTGAGGCTCTCAAGCAGCTGTGAGGTAGAAACAGTCAACACTTTGGGTATTAAGGCACAGACAAAATTAGTAGAACATAACTGGAGAAAAACTGCAAAGTAGTTACTGATCTGAGCAAGTAAACATGGCATATGCAAAATTAAATGCATTTATGATAGCAGTGAAGGCAGTTGTTCACTTGTTCTCATGTCATTTTAAAAGGCTCTAAGCTCCTTTTATAGTAAAAATGAAATGTGTACCCCTTCAGTCCATGCAGAAATCAATCACTTTGGGAGGTTTTACAGTTGCAAGTTTCTTACCACTATCAATTTGGTTCTATGTTGTTTTACAAAGCCAGAGACCTTAGGAAATACATTGAACTGAAGAATTGAGTATTTGCTCTGGTATGGCCACCCTTGAAATGTAGCTGAGACTATTCACCGTCTCATGAAGAAATCTATCAAATAGACATTCTATTCTTAGTTTCTCAGAGAATAACATGGAGATATCCCTGAAAATCACCTGTGCTTAAGAAGTATATAATTTTGCATTTATAATGGCAATTCTGGCACATTATATCTCTAAATTTTCATCATCAAAGTATAATAAAATTTGCAACTCAAGTAAGTACATTATCTACTTTCTTCCTACTTTTTTATCCTACTTTTTTTTTTATCCTACTTTCTTCAGGTTTTTCTATATTATTTTCCATGTCTTAATACAAGTGCTTTACCACTAAGCAGGAAATCTTTCCTAAATCTTCCTTCTGTTGCAAGTTTCCTTTTCCCACTACCTACACATTGCCAGTTGTTAACTGAAAGAGTTAATAAGGTGGAACTGTGAATTATTTGAGTTTATATGCTTCAGTTTTGCTCTGGAAACAAGGTGGCACTCTTCTATTTGGGAGCCTGGTGTTTAATTTTTTTAAAAAGCAATGTCTTTCTTCAGTCCAAGTTTTTTTTTTTTTGATACCTGGGATTGAACTCAGGTCCTTGCGCTTGCACAGCAGGCAGCCAAACCACTGAGCTAAATCCCCGGCCCCCTTCAGTCCAAGTTTTAAAGTCTGGGACACTGTTACACAGAGCAAGCCAGCAAATCTTATAATGATAGCAAATCGATTTAGAGAGTTGTGTAGATTGCCACTGTTATTGACGTATCTTAAAATAGAACTCCATCAGACTCTGCCATTTGTGTATATATTGAAGACTTAGCATGAAAAAATAATGTAAAACACCTCAATATTTTTATATAGATTACATGTTGAAATGATATTTTAGATAAATCGGTGTCAATAAAATATACTATTAAGATGAAAATAACTTTCTGGCAATTTACATTTTGAAAATTTGAAGTAAAACACTGGGGTTGATGTTCAACTGTTTTTTCAAAAAATTTTCCTGACTTTTTATTTGGTGTATGTTCATTGAAAAAGGTTATCACAAAGGCCAGGGCTTAGCTCAGTGGTTCCGCTGCCTGCCTGAAAAGCGTAAGGTCCTGAGTTTGATCCCAGGTACCACAAAAAAAAAAAAAAAAAAAAGATTAACACAAATAAATAGCATAGAAACATAAATCCTTTGATGACAGCAATGGGCATGGCGCCCTCAGGGGTACACACAAGAGGCAATCTATAGGAAGGCCACCAGCTGTGCAGCTGGGAACACTCACAGTGTTTAGGTTGTGGCCCAGCTCTCTCTGGGATGCTTGTAGCCAATGATGGAACACAATGGGGTGAGCAGAACTGGAGCACTCTGCCCAACGCCGGGTTCCTCTAATGGGTTATCTTTTCTGCTGCACTCCCTGTCTGCCTGGCTGAGACTTTCTCAGAGTGGCATGGCAGTTTGAGGCTCTTCCTAAGAAATGTTCCTTCCTTCTCCATCTCACTTTATGGGTATCAGACCCACATTGCAGTGTGGAAGCTCACCTTACCTACCCGCTCTCTCCTTTTGACTCATTACAGACATTTTACCAGTAAATCTGCTATCCTCCTACAGATGTTTAGATTGTTTCTAATCTTACATGATTACAAGTATGCACAATTTTCTTCATATAATTGTAAATGTATATACTGTATATAGTACAAAATTCTAGGAGTAGAATGTTGTAGTCAAAGATAGGCACACTTTACAACTTGAAGATGTTATTAAATTACTCTACCTGACATTTGTGTCAGCCTACAGCACCCATCTGCAGAAATACAGCTTCTGTTTGCCCAGCGTACTCATAACATTGGTTATAATTTTTAAAATTTATGTGTCTGCTAGATAGAATGGTATCTCATTATCAATGATGATTATACCACAATATCTTCTGTCTGTCTAAACTGATTTATATCTTACATCAATATTTCTTGTAGGTTTTTGATTTTTTCTTTGCTGGTATGCAAAGGCTTTCTACATGAAAAAAAAGTGTTTTATGGCTGTTATAAGTGGCAGTTTTCCTCCTAGTCTCACATTTGTGGTTGAGGCTTATGGTGTCCTGTGCTGTGAATAAGTTTTACAGTTTTTATTTTTTTGCCAGTAATAAAATACATTCATAATTCTGAAAAATTTTTAGTGCTTTTACAAATTATGAATAAAGAGAGAAACTTCTCAAAAGTTTGCTTATTGTGATAAGATTCAAAATGGAATCAAGGAACTAACTGGAAGCTATAATTAGGTACAATATTACTACATGGATAGATATATTAAGACAAACAAAACTTATAGTATTACTCTTCTAAGTGCCACCTTACAGATATTCTACTAAAATGCACACTCTCTGAATTTTGTTTCTAGTATGTCTATAATGACTTTAAAAATAGGCCAAACATTTCAATTGGTTTAATTCTCAATTTTCTAGATGATTCCCCTTTTCTTGTTTTCTCTCAAGACTAGAGTCCAATTATTTAAGGATTCTATGTGATGATCTGAAAATTAAAATTGCCAGATACCAAATTAGCATGGTCAGAAGTGCTTGATGTGATATATTATACTTTCCTTCTGTCGGGGTGTTACTGGAAGGAAACCAAATTAATGGGGAAAGTACAGAGGCAGTGAGAGCAAGAGAATTCTCACACTTTCCAAAAGATTATACTTTAAAAAACCAGAAACACATGGCTTTTGCCTTCAAAATTCTATTACCCCAACATATATAACAGAGTTAGTATCATTCATTTAATCATGGAAAAGGCCTGAACATTTCCACACATTTACAAGTTTTTCAACAGAGAAAGAAAAATAGCAAGATGAAAACTGTAGACCCCCATACACTCATACACATGTGTAATGCTAAAATGGCCACCTGAGGATGCACAAAGAATTAAAAAATGCACTTTATTCGGATGAGGGATTGTTCTTACTGAAGAAATCTGAACTTACCTCCTTGTTCATCCAACATAACCAAAGTCCTGATACCAGCATCTTTACTCTATTTTCCAATTATGGTAGCAAAGTTGAAAAGGAGTTAGAGAGAGAAAAGAGAGAAAAAGAAATCAGTAAGGAGGCAATTAGACCTAGAAATGGAAAATGAAGAAGGACTAAAAGGAAAAAGGGAGGAAGTATGGTGAGAGCATTAAGGGGTCGGTGGGGGGGGGGCGGCGAGCTCAGTGGATTGGTGACCTGTGGATTTGCTTTATCAGTGGCTCTCAGAGGTAGAAGGAAGGGATGGAGTGCAATCTTCATAGGATAAGGCTGAGGACGGAGGTTCTAACACATGAAATACATATTGGAATACATATTATAATTTTATATCTGGACAATAAAAATAGCTATAGCTTTCCTAATAGCAACCACAGAAAGAAAATCTTTCAAAAATATTCTAAATTAAATTTTCTTCACTGGGCATAACCTATTAGAAAGTCCCAGTCAGTGAACTGGGGAAGGATTACTATGGGGAAGACAAAAAATCTTGGGGATGAGGTTTTTCTGTTTATCAAAAGAAAGCATGGCTTCACAAAGGCCGAGAAACACAGCTCAAAAAGAACCTCATTATTCTATTTTCTCTCTCAGGGAAAAAGTTCCGCAAGATTTAGAAAAGGGAACAAAATGAAAATAAGGGCTTTTTATACTGAAATCTAAAATTCTCACAATCATATAGAGAAATGATGGTGAACCTTTTAGAGCTTTCAATGATAATGAACAACCAGCTGCGGCACTAGTGCTATAGATTTGTCACCACTGACATAGAGTGAGAAAATAACTTCTCTATAAGCCTACTGCAATTCCTTTGCGCAAGAGAAGTTAAGGCATTCCTCACCTCACTCCTTACTTTCTGAATTATTGGGAGGATGGGAATGGGAGTTGGTGGGGAGGGGAAAAGGAAGACATTCATATTATTCATACATAGAAATCACTGTTTCTAGGAATTCTAACCACTTAAGTGAAGACTTTCCATTATACAGGGTGACTATTTATGGGTATAAAATGCCACTGCGTATAGTTTGGACTAATTGGTTTTTCAAGGAACGCTCATGGAAACCCACAGAATAAATTCTAAAATAAGACATCTTCATATCCCTACTTATTTTTCACCAACTTACTTAGAACTAAGAAAAGAAGCAGGAAGTGTTAGTGGAGACCAGCAATTAAATTCCAGTTGTGCCTCTAAAAAGTAAAATAAAACACTGCTTATTGTTTCTGTAAATTGTTATAAACTCAGCATTTTAGAGAATGTGTGCAGTTAACTCTGTAGGACACAAAAGCCTACACAGCCTTCGAATACACTTTGCCAGGCATTAGTGGCCAAGTCAGGGTCCAGTGTGGACAATTGTGGCCCAGGATGACTTTCAGAGGAGTCATCCATAGCACACTCGCTGGGCCAGACCCTGGGCCAGAATCTTGGTGATTTCATTTGTTAGCAGTAGGACCTCAGCAAGGATCCTAATTGCTTTGTGCCTCAGTTCTCTCATTTGTAATACAGCAATAATAGTTCATATCTCACTGAGTCTTTATGTGAATTCAATAAATTAATATGTGGCATGTGTTAGAATGGAGGCTGGCTTATCGTTACATGACATTAAGTGTTTACAAAATGAATACTCATAAAATGCATGCATAGCAGGACCTCTAGGCAAACTAAAAATATCATCATTACCATATACTATCAGAAGCTTCTAGACCACTACCATTCAAACCTTAATGGCACATGAACCCCCTGAATATGAATCATCTTGTTAAAATTCAGATTCGGATGCAGTAGAACTGGGGAGGAGCCTGAGGTTCTGCCTTTCTTGCAAGTGCTTGGATGCAGGCTGCTGGGCAAAGGCATCACTGAGGAGCAAGATTCTAGACCACAAAATACACCACAAAATCTTCTCCCTAAATGTGTTAAAAATGGACTCTTGTCTATAGTAGCCTGTATCTTGATGATCTCTTTGCCCTTTTCTAGATATTTCAGCCATTCCCTGTGAGACTAAATTATGAAAAGCAGATGGCTTATTCAAACATATGGATATGACAGTGCAAGTTCTGGTGAGGACAGAAGCATCTCAGAGAACATTTTCTCCTTGAGAATCCAAGAAAGGTTGTGTCTGTGGTCTGTGTTCCTTTCTACTGGGGACAGTGGATGGAGGAAAGGTTAGTGATTTGGGCTTGGTCAGTCCAGTTCTCACCTGTTTATACATTTTTGCATTCTGTTATACCCATTTATTTTACATGGGGCCTTGCAAGTATAATTTTACATAGATTCATTTTGGTGTGCAATGTTTCAGCACTAGAATGATTCACAGAACTAATCTGAAGGAGTAAGAGTGTTTGAAGTTACTCCAATCTGGGAGAACACTTGCAGAGAGGACTGAGATGGGAGTCAGGAAAGCTGGGTTGTACCCTTAGCTCAGCCACCAGCTATAGATCTCCTGATCTATTTCCTTTTATTGCAAATGAGGGCAGAGATGCCAAGTGAGATAGTATGGATAGTAGGTTGGCTCATTTACTTACTTATCCACTCATTCTTCCATTAATGTATTATTTCATTCATTAATAATTTTATTTACTCATTCATTCACTTATCCAATACATGTTTATCAGTCCTCTACTCTGTCCTAGGTAGTAAGGAGAAGGGGCAGACAACTGCATGTCATTTCATTATGCTTCTCACTGTGAGAGACAGTTTGGTCATTGGGCAGATCTGGGATCTGGGGGTCAGAAGTTCCAAATTCTAGACCTATCTTTGTGGTCCTTCTCCTCTAACATCACCTGTTCTATATCTCAACTTGCCTAGTGGTCAAATAGGGAGAGTTAGAGCTCCCTCACATCCCACAGTCATTATGAGGATGATTGAACTGCAGAAAGTACAGCTCTCTAAGAGTTAGTTCAACTCTATAGGAGGCTGTGCTGGATTCAGGAAGGAACATGAGATGCAAGATTTAATTTGAGTGGAATTTCAGCTCCTTTAGAATGGGTTGCTTTTGTTTCCTTAGATCCTTTTGCCTGTTGTGGAACTCTAAAGAAAAAAGAATTGTAGGAATTGCTGGTGGAAGGGAAGTCAAATGTTGTGTGTCATAATTCATGTTCAGAGATCAGGGGGACCTGGATTTTAACTTTATCTCTGCCCTTTATAGCTATGTGTCTTAAGCAAGTTACTTATCCACTGTGTACCTCAAAATAAAAATGAGGATAAAATCAGAAGTAAAGTGTGGCTAAAATATTAGATTGTATATTTGCTGATCATGGTGATGATAATGGCTTCAAGCCTAGTACCTGGCACACAGGAGGCTCCCAATAAATGTTAGACCTTACAATGGTTCACTATTTTGCTAACAGTCTCTATCAAAATAACTAAATTGCTTTTTGGGAGAACTAGCAGCTCAGAGGATGGATGGGGATGGAGACAATATTTCAGGGAAGGCAGAATATTGGTTTCCCTTGTTCTTTAAATAGTATTATGTTTTAGTAGCTAGCAATGAGTGGAGGTAGTTCTATTTTTACTGCAGCTCAGTTCTGCATTTCTGTTTGAGAGCACTAGGAAAATAGCCTACCTAAAAGGCTAGAGCTAGAGATAGGAGAGATTTTTTTATTTTTTGCTTCTTTCTGTTTTCAAATTTACTTCTTTATCTTTATTTTTGTAGATGAATTAAGGCAATGTTTATAAAGAACTTTCAAATGTTTCTTTGGTTATTTTCAGGTGCTTTCCCCAAAGTCCAATTCATTTGTCCTATAGTTAGGAGACTCCTGGCACTTGCTGGAGTTCAAAAAACAAAACAAAATAACAACAACAAAAAATCCATATCACTTCCTACCTGATTTTAAAAAAGTTTTAACAAAACCCTGACATAACACAAACATAGCTTTAGAATGCTTATCTCTTCCCATAGCCAAAGTGTTTTGAAAGATAAGCTGGCATTAAAAGAAAAGATGCTAAAACATTCATGAAATGTTAGTGGTTCAGTAATCACTCCATGAAAGTGGAGTGATGCTTGTGAATGACTTGGCCTAGAGCAGTGTGGCTTTTCCTGGGCTTAGTTTTCATAGCCCAAAGCATTAATGTGTAGATTTCATTTCCTGCATTTAAAATTAGCAGAGTTAACTTTTTTTTTTGCGGAGAATCAAATACTCTCTTTTTGACAATACATCCATGATTCTCCTACTAGAATTGTTTTGTCTATGAGCCCAAGGAGGTATGTTCTTGAATTTACAGTTATTTACATATCTGTTGCCCTGTAAGATATTATTTTATGTCTTCCTTCCTATCCCCAGAGTTAGGTATTCCATAAATACTTGTTGAAATACATCAACTGAAAGAAAGCTCCTAACTCCATGCTAGTGACCAAGTGCTGCATGATTTCTAACCTTTTAAATCTGTATGTGCTGTTCAGCTTTTCTGAAGTTTCCTCACCAACCTCTGGATACCTTTACACCATCCTTGAAATGCTGATAGTAAAAACTTTCTATTAAAAAGCAAGTTTTCACCCCTGCCAAGCTGTTATACTTTAGTCTGTTAGGGAGGGAAGGAAGTTGTATATTCTACTGAAAATTGGATGGCCTTAGGGAGACTTTCAGTAATATTCCCTGTCTCTGAGGCTGAATTTCAATAAAGATTCAGTTGAATCCAAATTATAGAGTACTGATGAACTTTGGGATCATGGGCAAGATCGTGATATTTCAAAGCTCAGATTTTCCAAATGATTTCTGCCCTTGATGAATATTTAATGTTGATTCTCTTTAAAGAGAATTTCCTTTTTTTTTTTTTAATAGAAAAGCAGAATATTATCTGAATAGCCAATGACCTAGACACAAAGGGTGTTTGGCCATAAATATAAAATAACCCAGGAGGAAGTAAGAGCAAATCAATCTACTCTAGGAATGCCTTGCTTACAATTTCCTAAGGATGAAAGTCTAATCCCCTCCTCTCATTTATTAGAGGCAGGAGATTGCTTCCATCAGTTTCACTCCTTGTTCTAAGTTGCAACTTCATGCTTGATTGAGAAACACTGTGGGGGAAACAAAAACGTAATTTGAGAATCCTGCTTCAATCAATAGACCTTTGGGGATTTTTTTTTTCTTCGAATAAATTAAATCAGACACTAATTTTTCAAGACTGGCCAATACTGCTGGCAGTTCAAGAAGACATGAAAAAGAAATGTTCATATCCCCAAGACTGATGGGTGAGGGGTCAGTTCAAGGAAGTGCATTCTGTGTTCTGCCTTTGCCTCACTGCTTCCCATAGTCAGTGGTGGTAAACAGAGGCACATGTGCTGCAGTGGGCTGTTTGTATCATTGAACGCCCTAAGAGGCTCCCATCACAGGTAGGTAGCATTTCAATAGTATGCAGCAGGCAAACTGGGGACAATTCTGTCATTTTAGAAACGTCCAACACCCTTGTATACGTGAAACCAAAAATGAAAAGTGACAATGAAGGCTCTGATTGAGGGTCATAAACTGTACTGTGATAATAACGTAAGAGTATGTAATAAAATAATTGTGTCATTTAGTTCCGGGTTCCATTGAGGTTAGCATCAGAGCCCACATGGGCATGTTCCTAATGGTTGTTCCCCTCCTTTATTTATGATAAATTGGGGGAGAAGTGTAGACAAAGGACCTTGCCAGCACTCCTAGGTTTAGAATATCTACCTTCTTGCTCCTTACATATTTCTGCAGAAACTGTTCCCAGGGCAGAGTAAAGAAAACAATTCTCTTCATTCAGAGATGCCAGGCTGTGTTCTTACTGCTGAGAGCTGCCTTACTGTGGGGCCAGCTTGTGCTATAGTGCAGGCTTAAATTGGCATTTTTGAAATAACAGATTTTTCCTTTCTTTTTTTAAAGGGAACTTATCATTGCCACGTTCTCCCCATCTCTCCTGTGACAATTTGCATTTAGCCATATTTCATTCCTAGGTGAGAAGTTAGAGTTGCAAAAATAAGGGAAGACATCAGCTCCTGTCCTGTGAGAGGTGGCTGCCTTTCTTTCGGCCTTTGTGAAATTTATCTTTGTTTTCCTTTTCAGGTCATTGCATAAGCAATTTACAGTAGCATAAGGTGTGTATGTCAGCTCATTTAATCATTCTGTTAGAGAAAATTCAAGATCTCTAAAAACGATAATCAAACATGAATTTAGAAGTTGATAAGCAGAAGCATTCAAAGCATAGCTAAAACACCATCTCACTGAATAAAACTTATTAGGCTTGTTTTATTAGGTTAAGATAAATATAGTCCAACCCATTCTTTTTCCACTTCATCTCTCCCAATAGGCAGGTTCAATTAATCCATTTATTCTTCCTGGTTGACTGCTGCTCTACCAAATTGGAATGAGTGAGGTTTACTGCAAATGCCCTTTGGATTCCATTACTGCTATCTGCCTTATTTTACCCATTTAAAAATAGTTTGGCATTCATTAATCATATTTCGCAAATGGATGTGCAATCAGAGTCAGAAATATCAAACAGCCTTTATATTTATATTATTGGACTTGATTTTTTAAAAGATCTTTCCTATTTTTTCCATAAAATTTAGTGTTTCTTGCCACTAAATATAATAATTCTTGAAGTTGAAACAGAATTTTGAGATTAGATACTATTTATAGGCATCAAATCATTATAATTGAAGTTTTTATGTAGATAACTCCTTCATATATTAAAAAGTGCTCTGGGTTGATTAAAGGGATCTATCTAATCTTTTGTGATTTCTTGGAAACAATGGCTTGGAATTAGTATGTTTCTCTGTATCCCAGACTATAAAGGTTGCCTGGGCTGGGAGGGAGGGTGGATTTACCTTGATGGCTACCTGGCAACTTAAATACATCGTCTCTTTCACTGTGTGGAGTGGGACAGGCTATATTAACACTGGAAGCAACAGGATCATGGGGAGGCAGTAGGGGCCAGGGAAAGAGCATTCAGCACAAAGGATGAGATTTTTTATTTTAAAATAAAGTCACTCCTTACCTCTTCTACCAGTTGCAGCATACGACGGGTGCTTTCCAGCGACTAAGATGAAAAAAAATAAATGTTATAAGTGCAAGAATGAGAGATCTTGGAAAGGTAGAAATATTTTCTTCATTTGAGAAACACAAAGGGTCCCTATGACATATTATTTTTAAGTTTACAAGTGAAACACAAAATGTCTTTTCCATTTTTCAATCTCATTCCTATTGGGCTTTCTACATGATCAGATTTCCTAAAGCAATTATATGAAAGCTTATCTTCATAAAATCAAAACCATATGAAGTTGATCTTGATATTAAAGATAAAATAATCTGGAAAAGATAATTTTGCATGCTCAAGATGCATGCAAAATTATCTCAAATACTCAGAAGACTAATTTGGCCTCCCTGGGCTAGGAATATTGAATTTTAAACACAAACATCATTTCTCATGAATTGAGATTAATATAGCATCAAGTTTCTTATAAAGCTCCTAGAAACACAATTGGAAGTTGTTATCAATACAAATTAAGCTGTCGCCTTAAGGTGAAGAAAATTAAGCATGTTTGAAATAACTAGCCTATAGGAGACAGCTATAATAATTATCTTCATTCTTAGTTAAGAAAAAATGTGTAGGAAAGTCTGAGCTCAGTGCTGATCCCTCAGGCAGAGTTGTCACTTTTTTCTCAGGTCCTTTAACACTACTAGAATCCAACAACCAGTGTGATTTCTCAAAGCTGCGCTTTTAAGTGGCAAACTTGTTTTGGCCAAGAATCTGTAAAAACCTGAAGGATATCAACTTTCCTGGGAGAGACTTAGTAGGTTGCTTTTTTGTTTAAAATGGCTATAAGCAGTGGTATTCTGGTAAATGCTTAACCAGCTGTTTGGATCTATAGACACATAGTCAGGTTTATTATTTCACTGATGTAAAAGATGAATAGCACATTTACAAATTATAAAGCATACAACACTCTATTGTAAATTCCATATAGGTGGTTGCTTCTTGCAGATAGCTTTTTACAACTTTTGCTGAACTCTGTGTCCATAGCTAACTAGTACTGTGACATTGAGTGTTGACTGGGTAGTTTCATTTATGTTCCTAAGAGGAAAATGAAACAATGAAGATACACTTAGGAACTTGACTCATTTGTCAATAAGGAAAGTAATGGCTTTGCTGAGGAGAACAATAGTTTCCAAATAATGAAAGATTTCCTCAATGTTTTGCATTATTCATAGTATAATGGCTGCAGACAAGCAGACTTTCAAGTTTAATCTGCATTATGAATATTTTCTTTACTCTCTTAACTCTAGGTAATCAACAAAACAATAAATCAAGCTCTGATTTGTAGTGTTTTCAGATTCCATAGTAGAAATACCCTGTCTGATCTCTAACTACAGTATAATGTCACTGACCACGAAGCTGGGAAGATCAGCAGTAACACTCTTGTCCTATGATGTTCCCGACCCAGATAGGATGGATCAAACAACTCAAGAGCACAGAGAGTGCTTGAATCGAACCAGCTCCAGCACACCCCTGCTTGGAAGTCACCCAGCCCCTGCTTTTTTTAGTGGATCTTCATCTCAGGATTTCTAGAAATCAGGAGTTAGGGCCAAGACATTAATTTGTACCCAGGTTTTATAATAAACCTATTCCAGTCTGTAGACACCTTAGTGTATAGGAAATCAAAGTCATCACTTTGTTTTACTTGCAACATTAGAAAAAGACTTTTCCCAGAACCTGAATGAGGCAAACCCCTTAGCTCCCCATCTTTTGCCTGCCTCCTGTTCTCCACCGCTCACCTCATCAGCCAGCTGATCAGCCCTCCTCTGCATCTCCTCGAGCTCATTGCGCATGTCCGCGTCTTCAGCCATGGTAGTGGTGGGGGGTGGCTGGGCGCCTGGCCAGAGGGTCAGTGATGGCTTTGGCCACGGAACCTGGGAAAAAGCAAATTAAAAAATGTGGGAGTTCATATGAGTGTGTGTAGACATAGGCAAAGACCAGAAAATCTAAATGACCGGAACTCAGTCCCCATGGTTTATTGGACTTCTGAAGTAGAAGTCACACTCATATAGGAGTCAACAGTATTATGCCATTTATCAAAAAGGAGCTATGAATGCATGCCTGCCAACTTTCCTATGGGGAGGATAGATTCCTGCCCACATATGAAGGGTCTTAAAAACACAAACCACCCAAGGGTTTGGAATGATGGGATGGACAGATGTATTTCTATACTTTTAATATCACGGTTATTTTTATTTTAAAAACAGCTTTATTGAGGTATAATTGACATACAATCATCCCCATAAATTTGAAGTGACACTTTGAAAAGTTTTAGTATATGTATACACCCACAAAACCATGACAACAATCAAGAAAATGAACAAATCTGTCACTCCCAAAAGCTTCTGTACATTGTTTGTAATCCTAACCACCCACTGTTACCAACCCCACCCCACTCCACCCTTATGCCCACAAAACTGCTCATCTATTTCCTCACCATAATTTTCATTTCCTAGAATTTTATATAAAGGAAATCACATTTAGCTACTATTTTTTGCCTTGTATTTATCACTTAGTATAATTATTTCATCCATATAGCATATATTAATAGCTCATTCCTTTTTGTTGTTGAGTAGTATTCCATCATATTTAGAGGCATTTGAAAGCTATAGGCCAACATATTTTTTTGTCTCTAATTGTTATCAAAGGTTGTCAAGAGGATGGGTGTGTGAATGAGCCACTATCATTCCAAAGGGGAAAGGGCCCTGGGCCTTAAACATGACCAGCCTATTTCTTGGCTATTCTCTTGAAATCCCACATGATACAAATCATAGGTGGTAGGACTAAGATCCCTGTAGAGCAAACTTCCCTCCTTTCCTCCTTTCTTCCTTCCATCCTTCCTTCCTGTCAAATATTTATTGAGTACCTGTACTATGCCAGGACAGATCTGGGTACTAGGGATATAATTTTGAGCAAGAGAGGAAAAGTCACTCCATTCAGTCTAATCAGGAAGGTAGGAGTAAAAAAAGAAAGTCAGATTATTCAGTATGATAGCAATGGCACTAGAGGTCTTGCCTGGTTCCGTGGGTGTACCTAGAGGCATGCCAGACCTGCCTCCTCACGTTGCTAGACATGGCCATCAGAAGGATGGGAGTTAGAGGTCTAAGGTGACATTTGAGATGATACTATATGCATTTCATATAATGAAAACCTGTCTGATAGCACAACTGTAGGAAGCATGGGCTCTTGTTCTGTAGCTGAGTTAATCAGTTGTGCACTGGCATTTGTTCTCCCTTTTTCTTGGCAGAGTATGATCTCTGGGAAATGTGTGTCTACAGTAACTGCATCTCCAGGTCCCTCACTGGAGGGAGGCAGTGCCATGTGGCTAGAGACGGTCCATGAATTTTAGTGGAAATAATGTGCATCCCTGTTATACTAGGCAATTCAGAATTTTGTATTTTATTCCCTTTCTCCTTTGAAATTCAGAAGCTCATATTTTATTCCCTCCCTTTCTCTTTTTGCCAGCAAAAACGGAGCCCTGGGATGATCATGCCATGAGACAGCAGGAAATTGGGGCCTCCAAATCTCTGCAGGAAGGAAAGGACTGCAGACCAAAAACAGCTAAATTCTTATGTCAGGGAGCAATACAATCTATTGAGCTAAGCTACCAAACATGTGAGCATTTTATTTGGTTTTGTTATAGCAGCTGGTGTTACACTTAACAATAAAGTCTTGATGAAGCTTGAATAGAAGCATTATCTATGAACATGATTTCCTAACCGAAAAACATATTTATGTTTGTCCTTCTGAGAGAGGCTTGGAGAATAGTTAGATTTAGGGCTTTGGAACAATACCACGTTATTATTTGTATCAGAATCACCAAATAAGAGGAACATGCTCATTGGGAGGCAAAGAGGCTGGTTCTTGAGGGGCATCTAGGGGAGGGAGCTGGGTGAACCCTTCTCCTAAATCCACTCTGCTGTAACTTTCTCAGCTGCAAAGACTGAATGCCTTTGGGATTTTAATTTAGCACAGCATTAGAATCTTATTTATCACTCTTGTGAAGCAACTCTTACTATTTAGGATTTTTAGGAAGAATCTTAAAATGCAACTTCTTTGGAGATAATAGATTTCACAACTCTTTTCTATTGCATGATTCTTGGACAGGGTGTCAAAAGCAAAATCATTGTGAAAGAAGAGAAGTTTCAGGGCTGCATTTTACTACTAGCATTAAAAAAGGCAGGGAGAGTAAGCTTATGTTAGGTTGGTTTTTATGGGGAGTCTGTTAAAAAAAAATCAACAGAGCATTATACCATGAGGCCGCTAATTTTCAAATGCCTATCCTGGCTATGAGAATATATGCTTATCGTATGATATAAGCAGAAATGCTGTAAATGCTTTGTATGTTACTTAAGTACAATTCTCCCTTTAGAAATTAATCATTTGGGAAACAGAAACTGGAAGGAATTTAAGCCAAGTCTCTCCTGAACTTCAAAAGGAACAAAAACAAAATTCCAGTTCTCTCCTGAGTGATAGATCTATCCTCCAAAATAAAACGGTGGACTGTTGGGAATGTTGGGTAGATTATGGGCCACAGTTTAGTACAGTGGAAATGGCTTTGATATCTGAAAGACCAAGTTGGGTTGTTGGTTGTGGCACTCAAAAGCTGGGTGGCTTTGGGCCAGTTCACTATCTTCTCCAATTCTCGCCTTTCTCAACAGGGCGAAATATACCAATCTCATAGATTTGCTGAGGGCAATAAATTATAGAAAGTTCTAATAAACTCTGTAAAGATATGGGGGTTCGGTATTTGGAATGCCCGGTTCATTCAGATAGTCCTATACTGGGCCAGGGATTTAGCTCAGTGGTTTTGCCACCTGCTGTGCAAGCACAAGGACCCGAGGTCAGTCCCCGGTATCAAAAAAAAAAAAAAAAAAACAAAAAAAACCAAACCAGATAGCCCTATACTCTTTCCTAAGAATGGAACAAGCCAGTTTCTGTTCATTAGCTTTCCTTTACTAATGGCTGTGCATGGGGCATGCTGCTGTGGTGCCCAGCATCCATGGAAGCTGAAACCAAGGAAACTGTCAAAGTCTTGAGTCTCTAGCCACCAAGCAGCACCTCTCATGGGATTACCATGGGAGACAAACAAGAGCACCTTCTGGTCTTGTTCTCCATCTTCCTGAATTGCTACTCAGTTCCTTGGGGGAAGGTCTTCTTTCAGCCTAAGCAAGTCTTTCCCTTTAATACCCCAATTTATTAAAAAGTAGGGATCTGTGTTCATTCTGACCTATAGCACTTTCCACTCTATTTTTTAATGGATGTATATTCTCTCTCTCTCTCTCTCTCTCTCTCTCCCCCCTACACACACATATACACTCCAGCCTCACATTTCCTGTCAATCTCCCCTCAGAGTTGCTATTCCCAGCATGACAGCAACAGCTGTAGGGCCCCCTGGCTCCAAGCTGATGACAGCCTGTCTAGGTCTGGTGGATAGACAGGTGGCATGCTGGCAGAAAACCCTGTGATAGATCCCAGAGTGTTCCTCTCTTTCATGGCCCCCAGGAGCTCCTACCACCTTCATGACACTCTATAATGCAAGGTTATGTTTGTGATTTGGAAGGAGGGCTGACGAATCTTACAGATTTCAGTGACACAGCATTTCAAATCTGAAAAGCAACATCCATCCTCCTGATGAGAAAGGCTGGAGAGTGGGTGCTGAGCCCAACTCAAGGTCATCTGCTGGGGTGTTTATCACTAGTATTGGATAAGTTGTCCCCACAGATCCCAAACACATGCATGCTAACATTCTAAGAGACAGGCATAATGATGGTGATTAGCCCATCATGTCAGTAGCTGAAAGGGTGTGAACAGCGGATCGGCATTTATTATCCAGGTGGTGTGGAGCCCTTCAGTCCTATTAGCACACTAAACCTCCTTCCTGTGCACTGCCTGGGGTGGAGATGTGGCCCAGCAAGCAAAGCCTGCTTAGTAAGTGAGAATGGGAAAGTCAGCCACTCAAAACAACTCCCTAGGGCTCTGATGTAAGGCAATTTCCCAGTCCATTAAAGACTGAATGATATCTTATTAATTATCTCAAACCACCAGCATTAGCAGGTTTTCAGTTCATGTTAACTGATTAGTTGAATGAATGAATGAACCCCTATATTCTGACAGTAGTTCCTGTCATGTTCCCAAATCAGCACTTTACAAGTTGCATTTAAGACAGTTTAGGACAACTCCAACGGGAGTCAGAATCATCACAAAACTTAACCCAGGTTGCTGAATCCAAAACTCAGAGATTCTGGGATTCTGTGTTTCTGACAAGCCCTCACATGACTTTGACAGTGTTGGACCATAGAACACAGTTCAAGGAACTGTGACCTGTAGAACATGCTCCCTGGAATGTTAATAAATGTCATGAGGTGGGGTGGGGAAAGTGGGGAACTAGTCTGCTCGATAAACCAGGGACTTAGGGGTTGATTAGGGCTCATGAGTGAAATCCCACTTACTGCCTGTTTTTGCATTGAACTTGAGCTAAATAAGGGCTGTTTTTACATTTTTCAAGTGCTTAAAAACATTACTAGATGAAAAACTTTGTGATGTATAAAAATCATATGATATTCAAATTTTAGGGTCTGGATCTAAAGTGTTATCGGAGCATATGCTTGACCTCTGGTTTACTGTTGTCAATGGCTCCTTTAATGCTGCAATGGTAGTGATGATACCACCCACAAACCTGAAAATATTTATTACTTGGATCTATATGAAAACATTTGTGGATCCCTGGCTTAAAAGAAGCTAACCAGAACTCTTTAATCATTTCTTGTCAGTGTTTAATATCATCAGAGAACTATGCATTTCCTTTAAACAGACATAGTGTAGCACGTTTGTTTGTTTGTCTATAAAATCTCCTTTCCATGGAGCTTCTGCTGGTGTTTTTTGGAACATATTTTAAAACAAGAAATAAAGCATGGAATAAAAGTATAAAATATGAAAATAAATTTTCCTTTGTCTAGTCCTGTAGGATTTTAGGATTGCAAATCAGATCTAATCTATACACTTAGCTTTGAGGCATGGGGTGGCTTCACAGTCTGATTCTTTATTTCCATGGCTAGTTTCAGACAAAGGTTCTGGAATGTAGGAGCAGTACTGGGTTGTTTATGTTAGAGACAGAGACTTCTGAGTATCTGTCACTGTCAAGGTACGTGGACCAAGTGGGCAAGCTGCAGCCATTTTTTTGGTGTCTAGGGTAATTGTGTAGCTTTTCATTCACTACTGCTACACTTAAGTCTACTTGAGGCCCTCTTTAGCCTCTTATTAGCTATAGTTTGGGTCTAGAATGTCTGTCTCCCAAAGGCCAGTTTGGTGCTCCTGGGAAGGTGGTAGAACCTGGGACTTAGTTGATGGAAGTTAGGTAACTGGGAGTATGCCCTTAATGGGTTACTGGGACTTGGCCTCTTCCTGTCTGTTTCTCTTTCACTTCCCAGCCACCATCAAGTGAGCAGCTCCTTCTACCATGTGCTCCAGACATGACGACTGCCTTGCCACAGCTCCAAAGCCATGAGGCCAATTGGTTATGGACTGAAACCTCCCAAACTGTGAGCCCAAATAAACCTTTCCTTCTTATAAGTCAATTATTTCAGGTTCCTTGTCACAATGATGGAAAGCTGACTGACACAGGGAACAAATGGACGCTGAAGCAAACCCCCTTTTTATCCTATTAAGTACTTAGGTGGATTAGGGTAGAACTACTTTCTTACTGCAAAGTCCAGCCTCAAATATGAGGCTGGTCCTAGGAGGAAGAAGTGGGTGAAGTGGTGGAATGATTTTGATTTACAAGATAAACAAAGACTTGGCTATTAGTTCAACCACTGTAGGAGAAGAATGTCTTAGGAAGATGTAAGGAGAGCACACCCTGAGCTAATAATCAGTTTCTTTCCATGTTTCCTCTTTTAATTAATAAAAATCAACAAATCCATATAAATCAACACCTTTTGCTTGAGTATCACAGAGAACTGATAATGCATTTTGATGTTTGCCCATGCAGAGGTGCACTTTCAAAGTCAACAAAAACTTATGAATACAAAAGCCCAAAGAAGGACAAAGGGACTTTATAAACCAAGGCAGACAACTTCTGATATATTAATAAAAATCATGGTAATTTACATCTTTCGAGGCTCACTTTTTGCTGGACATTGTTTTATGTGCTTTTCATCCATATAACACACAATCTTACTCAAAACACAATGACACATGATGCACAGACTATTAATATCTCTACTGTGTAGATTAAGAAACCAAGTCTTACAAGTAACTATTAACACTCAGCTAAATTTCAGATCAGGAGATGGGTCATTTTTAAAGAAAAGTATTTTCAAAGCATATTTATTCTCAACGCAAGTTGCATGGGATATTTCATCTTTTAATTAAAAACTGGAGGGTATTTTACTTTTAGTTTCATTCATATATTGGAAAATAATACAAGGTGGTTCGACAGGTACCTGTATGTCTACATACCTAGATTTTGATATTATTTATTATCTCTTTGTTTTTAATCTCCTCCTCTTTCCCTTCTTTATCTTTGTTTTTATGTTATTGCTTTTCCCCCCAAGATACTTTACTGTGTTGATCTTTGTATATTTTTTGAATTGACAAATGATATGTTTATTCTACATTTTTCTTGTTTTCGGTATAGTATACTTATTGCTATAAACTGTCCTCTAGGTATTACTGTGGATGTTTCCTAGAGGTTTTACATTTTTATAATTTCTAATTTTATTTTCACTAATGAGTCAAGGGGACCCATACAATTTTTTGCTTTTTGGAATGTGTTGAGATTTCCTTTGTGCCCTCACACATGGCCAATTTCTGAGAGTGTATAGTTTGTATAGGAAAAGAATATCTGTTCTGTTTTTCTTTTAACTCTATCTAGCTACTTACCTACAACAAGTTAAGGAGAAAAAGAAGGTTTATATTATTCAACCTCCTACAATACTTACTCAACTCTATGGATTTCTGAAAGGAATATATTCAGATCTCCTACAGTTACTGTAGCTTTAATAATTTCTTCTATTTCAGCCCATTTTTGCTTTTTTATGTTTTTAGCTATGCTGTCATATGTTTATAGGTTCACAATTGCTACCTTTCCATAATGGATTCTAGCTTTTATTAATATTAAAATTAATATTGCTAGTGGTATACACCCCATTTCACTTTATGTTGTACAGTTTTGATCACATTCAGGGGTCTAGAATATGCATTGGCCTAACCTTTCCCCTTACATCTTCATGAAACGAACTGAAACAACAACAACAGCATTAACCCAGAGATGGTGGCACACATCCATAATCCCAATACTGGGGAGCAGAGGAAAGAAGATTGCTGCAAGTTTGAGGCCAGCCTGGGCTGTATAGCTAGATCTTGTCTCAAAAACAAAATAAAACAATACAAATCAAAATGAAGCAAAACCACCCCAAACCAACAACACCAAGCAGGTATTGACATCTAGGTTGCATGTAGCACTTCTTTGGCTCATGACAGCTCTAACAGCCCCTATTCCCTCTGGGGATGTGTCCTTATCCTCTCCTAGAGGCCAGTCTTTGGGTTTCTTTGGGGGTAGGAGCTAGTGATCTCTTTCATGGATTCTATCGGTCTGTGAGTATGGTCAAGGATGGACCTCATGCTATTATTTCCACTGGATAAAATTTTTCTTTGCAGTTAATGCCACTCTAAGCCCAAAACACACATTCTAAGGGAAGCTGAGCACAGTGATTGCTACTGAGACAAATTCCAAGGGTTCCTCAGGGAATCCGGAGCAGGCCAGTGAGGTTGCTGAAGAGGGGCTTCCTGTGCTTCCTCAATTTATAAGAATCTGCTCCATGTCTGGAGCCACCTTTCTCAATTAAGCAAGATCATCTGCATTTATTCCAACATTCTATGCCATATAAATCATACTTGTCAAAATATTACTCATAATAATAGTTACTTATCAAGAACTTGTTATCAGATAGGCATCAAACTAAGAACTATATAAAACCTGGGAGTTTATACAGGAATCCCAATCTTTTGCTATTCCAGATGTGATCTTCAGATCCAAATCAGCCTTGTCAGGAGCCATTTTATATAATTTTGAGGCAAAATCATTTCACAATTAAATTATGATTAGGCCTAGTCTTCTTGAGTACAGGCAGGCTATGACATGCTGAAACAAAACTCCATTTTTGCCTCTAGTCACAGCTGAGATCTCAATGGTCCTGTGATGCTGTGACACTCAAGGGCAAGATTACATCAGCTGAATACATTCCGGTTCTTTGAGAACTGGGGAGTAAGAGAAAGGTTTCACCTAGGGAGGGACAAATTCCTTATCAGTTTACCTCATCCCACCTACTGTTGTAAGAATGTCTTTGTTCATCTTACAGTCCTAATCAACATAAGATCCTCATTGGCATTAGATCATCATGGTCCTAGGATTACCACCACCCTCTGAGTCATCTGTTATTCCCTATGAACCTAATAAATAGTGGCAAGCTTGGGGTGCCTTCTTTGCTGCCCAGAGCAACACTGGTCAGGCCCAGAACCCAGCTTCTTCTATAAGTCTTGTTTCCTGTTTTAATTCTTTAATTCGTCTGTGCTCTCATGGCTCATAGGAGACCAGGACCCACTGCAGGGGTTCTGGTAATATCCCCTTTCCCCGTTCCCTACACAGCCTCACCTGGGAGCTTGCTCGAGCTGCAGCTCCCAGATCTGCTGAATCAAAGAACCTTGAGAAGTACTGCAGCAAGCATGAGAAAGATGAGATGTAAAGTCACTTAATAATAACTAAAATCACAGAGCTGGGAAGCAGAGGAGGCTGAACTTCCTGCCTTGGGGAGACTCTGTACTGGTGCTTTCACCCTCACGCCCATGCATCTTAATTCAGTTTAATTTAATTTTAGTTTATTTTTAATTAATGCATGACAATTGCCTACTTTTATGGGGTATAGTGTCATAATTCAATACATGTACACAATATGTAATGAGCAAATAATGGCATTATTATTTTAATTTCTCCAGGTTACATGTCCTACAGACTTCAAGGATCATTTGGTTCCCAAGTTAAGTGAAAGCTTCATGGGGCCATGGATTTCAAGTGTCTGTCAACAGTGCCATTCCCTCTTAGGGTGCACAAACTGGCTAATTTACACGGTGATAAAGTCATTCATTCGGAAAACTATAATGATCATCAGAAAAAAACCAAGCAAACCATACATTCTATCTTCCCCAGATCACATTCTAGGAAAGTTAAAACAGAAGCTTAATGTAGAGGGAAAAACTCTGGATTTTGAATGTTGTATGGTTCTGATAAATTCTTCTTATTTCTTGAAAAATGATAATTAAAGTTCATGTCTTAATGAGTAAAGAGCACTTTTGACAAATAACATGTAGCAACATCCTGTTTATACATTTCTCATTAAAAAAATGGCCATTATAAAAACCTGTGGTTTTCACAATTTTAAGTCTTTATATGTGTGGATTAAATTTGGCTTCTTATTATTCTATTTTGAACATTCTTGTGCAAGAAATTTGACCTCCTTCTCTTTTGTAGTAGGCACTCCTGGTTGTAATCAATTTCTTGGTTAAGACAAAAGATGATATTTAAAATATGATAAATCCATGGCTCATGAGTGAATTAATTTACCATACTGCATCCATTTTAGGCCCATAATCTGGTTAAGGAATAAGTCACAACTGCTCACAACAGGTCTTTTAATAGCATGGTCTGTGGTCTCCTTTCTTTAAAATCTTTTTAAATTCCTTCTTAAAAATGCAGATTTCAAGTTATAGCACTCATGGAAAGAGATCTGTGGATGTGGGGCTAGAATTTGCATTCTTGATAATAACCACTGGTTCTTCTTCTGTCCCACTCCCAGAATGGGAGGGGGTCTGTGTGTTGCATCACTTAGAGTTGAAGGTCTTTGCAAGTATCCAGTGGGACTTTTGGTAACCCTAGTATACAAACATCAAGAAACACAAGAGTATCCTCTAAAAAGAAGCCATGTTCTCCCCACCTGAGTTACACCATAAGTACATTTCATACAGAATTTGGCTGAAGACCATCTCAAGTGACAGATACTTCAACCAGCTTACAAAAATATCACCCTGCCCCCTAGAATTTGTGAGGGCAGGGACTGAGCATTATCAGAAGCCCAACTTCTTTCAAGGTTGACTTATTTATTTTCACACTATCCCACACCACACTACTCCCAAGTAATACCCTGTCTGTATGTCTGGATCTAATACATAAAGTCCTGATCTGGTTTCTTCTGAGAAAGGAAGTCTGACTTCTCTAATGAATCCTTCCCTTTGCTGGCCTCTTCCGGGATTAATGACAGCAGAGCTGACAGTTTGCTTTGGCTTGGGTTTTATTCTTTAGGGTGATGGGTCTAGGGTGGCCTGGCATTTAAATACAGCCAGCATTGGTATTTCTTAATTACAAGAGGGCAGCCAGCCACAACCAACACTGATTATGCCTAAATCTCTCTTTTTCAAAAATGCCAATGTTTCTTTTGTCTGTTTTGCAAATGTGCCTAAATGGGTATTTAACACTGTGGTTTGTATTATGCAACAGTTCCCGATTGTTTACTTGGGAGCTGAATCATGGTGGACTCACTGACCAGGAGCAAGAGCGGGATGAAACAGAACCTTGTCTCATTTATCCTGATTGCAGTCAACGCAGACCCCAAGTGGTTCATCCATTTAACAGTATTTGTTGAGTGCTATCATTTAGTGGAGCTGCAGGCAGCACACAGCTGGAGTGCAATGACCACTTGTATGGGATGGTTCTTGGAGCTCAAGCCAGAAGCCTTGTGTGTCAGCTCTCTCTTCCACCTTTCTTAGGAGCGAACCAATGAGAACATTTGCGTTCTGAAGTGCATGGCTTAGTTTTCAGGAGATGGGTGACATCCTGTTGGACTAAATTTCAGCGGCAATAAAAACAGTAACTAAAATGATTCCACTCCCAGGAGTGTGGACAGACATAATCCAAATTTCTTATGAAAACCAAATGACTTCTGTGGGTGTCTGACTAAATCAAGTTGGAGGAAGCTCTGTATCTCCAGGCTCACTAGTAGATTTGCCTTCAGAAGTTGTCGGTGGGGCTGTGCTCTGCCCTTACTGTTCTGTGTGGCCATCCCCCCTCTTTGTAAAGACCACTCTAATGCTGATGATTATGTTCCCTCCAGCGAAAGGCCATAGCTAGTATCTGACTGTCATGGGAGTGCAAAGGCTCTCTTTTGCCTCAGGGTGAGACAGAACCCAAGGGATAAAGTATACTCTGAAGATCCCCTCCATACCGAGGCTGCAACCCTCTGTGCAATGGCTCCTTTGTGACTTCCACCCATCTTCTTTGTCCTTCTCTCACTCTCCTTCTGGGTTCTCCCGAGTGCACTTCCTTAATAAATCACTTGCCCCTTAATCTTTGTCTGAAAGACCTGCTTTTAAGAAATTCATTCTAAGAAAACTTC